TGATCTCAATTGCAGTCAGTTTCGTTCCTTTGCGATATCTCAATGAGTGCATTTACATGCAGGTTCTTAAGCCGATTATGCTTAATAAGCCGAAAACGCACTTGGTCATATAAACGCGGTAACCCGTTTTCTTTTATCGGAGTAAGGTCAGAAACGGCGTGAGCATAAACCGTTCGCAACAGGTAGTTTTTGCCTCTTACTCCGATTTCGCATTGGCATGTAAACGCAATAACCCGCTTTCTTTCGGCTTATTGAAGTGCGCATGTATGATACGTGACAGGAACGCATCGTTAGTGCAGATTTCCCAGTCAACACGTGAGATCATGCGCAAAGTAGGCCCTTCGTTACCAAACACCAAGTAACTAAATTAGGATACAATTATGAGTCATTCGCAAACTGTTAAACATTAAACTGTTGGTTACTTTAAAACTAACCTTCATCTGGGAGATCACAGGGATATGTGAATATTTGATCTGTTAACTGATTGCATATGTAACATTTATTGCATGACTCGGGCAGAGAAAAGCTGTTGCTATCAAACACTGTTTACTTAATCATCTGAGTCAGTGCAATGGTGAAGGGATAGATCAAATAGGCCAATTGATGGAAGGTTTGCGAAGAAATTTCATGCTCCCTTGTAAAAGTATTTTTTAGTATTTTTAAAATACAAAAATACAGTAGTTTATTTTGATACATGGTGTGGCTGCTGTATTTTGTAGTTTATTTTGATACACTTAAAATGAAGGTATTTGGTATTTTATTTTAAAATACATTTTGATGTATCTTTGCCCAACCCTGATTGTAGCCCTTTCCACAGTGAAAATGTACTGGTCCAAAATGCTACATAGCTGCACATTAAACAACAACAAAACATTTTTTTTTTTAGTTTTCAGACAAAACCAAGGAGTGTGTGCATGCAATATATCTCACTTGTTGGGGTTGTAAACATCTATGTCCTCCAAAACCTGCGTGCTGTAGGTGGAGTTTGGGTGCATGCTGGCGAGAATCTTCAGGACTCGTCCGTTTTCTGAACCCAGAAACAGAACCGTGTAGTTCTTATATGGGCCAGCTGCTGTGTCCACAGCTATCTGGGTCAGCTTGAACCTACATCAGGAACATAAGCTAATTAGTCAACAAAACAAATCACAAACATGTCTTTCCATCACAACACTAAATGCTTATTTATTCTCCAGCACTAATAACGGTTGCCTCCTCTCTGGAGAAATAAAGAGTGCTAAAATAATGAGTGGTTGAGTGTACAGTTTCTATTGGAGCATGTGTGTGCGTACCTGCTGGTGGTTCGTGTGAAGCAGGGTCGGTTGTTGACAGACGGTATGGCCTCATCCATTAGTGGATAAGACTTAATGAACGTAAGAGTTTCATCAGGGAAATCTGTGGAGGACTTATAACCAGCAGCAGGGCCGTCACCAGCACAGGACCCCGGCCTAGAGAGAAATAGAGATAGAGATAACGAACTATAGACTACTACCTGCACAGACATTTCCCATGAAGCCTCATGGAAATTATTTGCAAAAACAGCTCACATACACGCACACAATTAACAAGAACCATTCCAACCATCTGCCACTGTTAAATAAAAGCTGTTTTTGGAGTCCATCGGGCCGAACAGGCTGCTGTCACAGCTCCAGAGAACCGGTCCAGGCATATCTCGCAGAGCAAGATGACGAGGAAGTAGATTCTTTGTCACTTGTGTGTATGTGGCATGTTATATTTGATTTGTTTATTAATACATGCTTTTGTGTGATGTTTTCATCTTACTCTAGCGATATTGCATTTATTTTTTCAAACAAACACAGCAAAAACAGTAATATTGTGAAATATTATTACAATTTAAAATATCTGTTTTCTATACATTTTAAAAAGTAATTTATTCCTGTGAAGGCAAAGCTGAATTTTCAGCAGCCATTAATTCAGTCTTCAGTGTCACATGATCCTTCAGAAATCATTCTAATGTACTATTTATTATTTATTATTATAGAATTTGATGCGTTCTTCCTCATTACTCTATAATTATATATTATAACTACATATTATAATATTTCCTTTTGGTTTACTATTTGAAGACTACACTCCATTGTTTTAATTTAATTAATATTTATATATTTATAATTATTATAAAAGTATTTACTGATATTAGTATCAAGTGGATTGCTATAACCCTTCATGACTCACCGTGGTTTGGGCACCATTTCATCAGGAACTGGCGTCCAGGCCGACTCGCTGTTTCGCTGCTCCTTAAACTTCCCATTAAACACTTTCTCTATGTCATCCATGTAGAATGCACATACAGCAGAACCGGTGATACTGAGGAGATAAAAGCTCCGCTGGATGTTTTTTTCGAAACAAACTCTTATTCCAACAAATAAACTATTCATAAATAAATCAAATGGATTGGATTCAAATAAATTAAGGCTGTTGTTGAAGTGTTTATGGAAATACAAATCGTATTATGGTGAGACTCCATACCTGTTGGCTTGAGTGGTAAAGACGCCTAAAACCGCAGGCCTGTGGTTGATCTGCATGACATTGGTTAATGACTGAAGAACGTCAAAGTAGAAAAATGAATCACCCGGAACCGAACAGTTTAACCGGGCTTTCAGGAAAGACGTCCAGTAGCGCTCTAGAACCCTTGGAGAGCCACCGTTATCATTCTTACACACGCGAGCGACCCGAGAGAACACCACCTGGTGTAAGTAAATGAGACATAAAAAAAGTAAGGAAGTGAGAGACATTTTTCAGACCTACATTGGCAAATAGTTTGTTCTTGTTGGCTTTACCTGAAAATGAAAAAAAGAGTCACACTTTATTTTAAGGTTCAATTCTCACTATTAATGAACAAACTATAACTTTTGCCTTAATAAACTACTAATTTGCTACTTATTAATAGTTAGTAAGGTAGTTGTTAAGTTTGGGTATTGGTGTAACGCCAAGCCAGCAGAGGGAGCCCTCGCCCGAGTACTGACCATGCTCCACTCCCTCTGCTTCCTCTACTTCCATTTCCTGTTTGACTCTCATATAAACTGAGACCAGTCCATGTGCTGGTCGCGAAGTATTGCCAGTTCATCTGCCTTACCAAGCGTTATAGTTCCTCTGTTCCTGATTGATTCCTGTGTATGATTCTGCCTGACTTCTTGACTCACGGTATTTGTACTCTGCCCCTTCTGTTCTGACGCCTGATTGGACTGATGTTTGTGTTTGGACTCATTGCCTGCCTTTCCACTATTGTCTCTGCCTCTGCCCCTGTGTATGACGAACGATCTGCCTGCTTCTCTGACTTTGACCCTCTGCCTGATTATCGACATCTGTTTAAAGCCTTGACCTTTAATAAACTTCCGCTCATGGATTCTAACCAAACTCCAGCGTCTCTGTTACAGAATATTTCGCCACCTATGAATCCAGCGCAAGTGTCGAACCTGCAAACAGTGTTCTCATACCAAGCTGAAATGCTCCAGAGATATCAGGAACAACTCACCAAGCTGCAGACCGTCAACGAACAACTGACGCACTATATTCGATCTCTCCCTTCAACCACTCCTATGACCGTAAGCCTCGCTCTTCCTGACAAGTTTGACGGTACCGCTGAGATTTTTTGATAATATTCACTCATCATGACAGTAAAATAGGGCATTCTAAGTCAATATACTGCAGTATTTCCTCTCTCAATCAGTAGAAAATATGGTTAACACCCGGTCATGCATGAAGAAAAAAAAAATAACGTCATGTACCGTGAAACCGGTATAATTTTGAAAAATACCGTGATATAAATGTTTGGTCATACCTCCCAGCACTAATTAGAATGATTTCTGAAGAAACATGTGACACTGAAGACTGGAGTAATGATGCTGAAAATTTAGATTTGATCACAGGAATAAATTACATTTAAAAAAATATTCAAATAGAAAGCAGTTATTTTAAATGGTAAAACATATTTCACAATATTACTGCTTTTGCTGTATTTTGGATCAAATAAATGCAGGCTTGGTGAGCAGAAGGGAATTCTTTAAAAAACAATGAAAATCTTACTGTTTAAAAACCTTTGTCTGGTAGTGTAGAGATTATGTGAAAATGTAACAATACCCTACCCAACAGGCTTCTCTCATCTTCATTGCTGTTCTTCACATCATCATACTCCTCCTGATCTCCCTCTGATACATGTGAAATAAAACCTCACATTGTAATGTAACAGCTTGTGTCATTCATCTCTTTCTCTTCATGACTGTCTGAGACTATTAGATTAAACCTGATAAAGCCATGATGATTTATTAATGTTAGTAATGCATGTCATTATCATGGAAACATAAGAGTGATAATAAATTGCAGTTCTGTGTGACTCACCTGTTAAACCTGGAACGTTCTGTCCAATAATGATGACATCATCATAGTGCTCTGGTTTGTCCACTACACATATATGAAGATATAAACAGAACAAATGTTACATCATCATATCAGTACTAAGTATCACTTTAAAGGTATTATGTTAAATACGCTCAAAAAACAAACACCTTTTTTAATATCAGAGTTCTGTCCACTCATCATGACATCATCATAGCTCATAGTTCTGTCTTCTACAAATTCAACATGAGACATTACACCCATACAATATATATATGATATATATATAGAGAGAGAGAGAGAGAGAGAGATAGAGAGATTTTATATCAGGGGTGTCCAAACCTGTTCCTGAAGGGCCACTGTCCTACAGAGTTTAGCTCCAATCCCAATTAAACACACCTGAACCAAAGTAATCAAGGTCTTTAGGCTTACTGGGTGCTTCTCAAATGGAAGGACACATCCTAGTGAGGATGCATCCTTCCTAGTCCAGTCCTTCTGAGGCTTCAAGACAAGTCTTGAGTCCTTCTCAGCATTAAACGATAGAATGAGTCTACTTAGTGCACATGGCTACGTCATTAATGTTTCCACCCCCACAGTCACATATGACATATTGCATAACATAATGAAACTGAACAAGCTCAGTGTTGATTCATTTTCAGATAATTGATTTTTCGTAAATTGGAACCTGTGCAAAGGATTCTGGACAATTGAAGGATGCGGAGGATACACTTGATGCATCCTTCAAAACAGGTCGAATGAAGGATGGGAAACATAGAGTGCCTACTAAGGATCCTTCAATTTGAGATATCTGCAATGGAGCTTGATGACGTGGCAGCCCAGATATGCAGCCTTATTAGAATGCGTCTTTCTGTTTGAGAAGCACCCACTAGAAACTTATAGTTACGTGTGTTGGAGCTGGCTGAAGCTAACCTCTGCATGTTATTGGCCCTCCAGGAGCAGGATAGGACACCCGTTTTATATATTTTAAATATATAAATTGCAGAATAACAGAGTGACACCTGTCTCACGATCTGGTTTTAGTCCATCAGTGATGACATCATCATAGTATCCCGGAGTGATTTCCTTCACCATCTCTTCTGCATCAACACATGTTGTATATTTTGGCATATTTTTGGAAATAAAATATAAGATATGCTCTTGCAGGTCTTGAGACCTGCCATTGTTGACATAACCATAATAAGCAGTGTTGAACTATTTTTCTAATGAGATAATGTAACGCCAAGCCAGCAGAGGGAGCCCTCGCCCGAGTACTGACCGTGCTCCACTCCCTCTGCTTCCTCTGCTTTCACTTCCTGTTTGACTCTCATATAAACTGAGACCAGTCCATGTGCTGGTCGCGAAGTATTGCCAGTTCATCTGCCTTACCAAGCGTTATAGTTCCTCTGTTCCTGATTGATTCCTGTGTATGATTCTGCCTGACTTCTTGACTCACGGTATTTGTACTCTGCCCCTTCTGTTCTGACGCCTGATTGGACTGATGTTTGTGTTTGGACTCATTGCCTGCCTTTCCACTATTGTCTCTGCCTCTGCCCCTGTGTATGACGAACGATCTGCCTGCTTCTCTGACTTTGACCCTCTGCCTGATTATCGACATCTGTTTAAAGCCTTGACCTTTAATAAACTTCTGCTCATGGATTCTAACCAAACTCCAGCGTCTCTGTTACAATTGGGTAGGATTAGGGATGTATAAAATGGTTTTGCAGAATATGTGCTTTATAAGCAGTAATAAACATCCAATTTGTTAATAATAGGCATGCAAATAGTTAATAGAGAATTGGTCTCTATACTGGATAAAATGTTACAAAAAAAATAAATAAATAAAAAATAAACTTAATGACTACTCTGAAAACAAATCTTAATAGTTGATGCAATTTTTCTTTAAGTAAACGTATCTTCTTATTTTTCTTGGAAAACAAGGAAAAAGGAAAATTAGGAAAAAGTGTTTTTGCAGTATATTGAAGAAATGAACTGAAGTGTCTGACCTTGCCAAGGGTGGTGTACTCTACTGCAATCTCGCTGAGAAAGAAGTAGATGTAGTTTCCGTACTCAATGGCATGAAGAAAATGAGGCTCTAAATAAACAAAGACATGATTAAAAACATAAAAATACCGAAATTATACAGAAAATAAATGTAGGTATCTGAATAACAGGTGACGCACCTCGTAGCCATTTTGAGTCGTATTTTACAGTACGCAGGACAGGACTGCTTTCTCCTAAACTTCGGTAAATCACTGCATCACTTGCTAGAAAATCTGTCATTGTGGCTGAATAAAAGTCACCGCCTGGGAAGTGAGGTGAGAAATAAGTATTGATAAATCAAAACAACACGAACACCACACAGCGGAGCTAAGCTCAGTTCAGTTCAGTGTGTATATGGTACAAAGAGGAAAAAGAGAGAGACGTGTCTCATCTCCCGCATGTCCCTTTTGAATCTCTGTGCTTCTGTGATCACTGCGACTTCCTGCGCTTTGTAAAATGTCAGTGGAACACTAGTGAGATTATAAGAGATTTCGTGTCTTCCTCCCCAGACGGCTGGTGCTCTGCCAACTCACCGGCAAACAGGCCAACGTTGGACTGGCGGGATTCGAAAGGGCAACGGGCTTGACCGACCACCTCCTCTCCATCCTGCTCCAGAGAAGACATCTGACCAGATAGAGGAAAAAAAGAACCCTTACACACACTGAGCCAACTAAAGAAACCTAGAAATACAACACGAAGACATATTGAAAAATGTCTAATAAATTCCTTGTTGATTTGGACCCCACTGCCGTTCATTGTTTGGGCAAAAAGACGTGAGGGCGAGTAAATGACAGAACATTCATTTTTTGGATGAATTGTCACTAATATTCTCAATTCCGATTCCGAATCTATTGAGAAAGAATTCTGATGCACTGGTGAATTGTTTACAACTACAGTGAAAAATATTTGTTTGTAAAACAATTTTCATTCAGAAATTGCTGGTAAATTTCACAAATAATTATAAGTATGTTTCTTGTAAAACATACCTTTCTTTACAGTGCCATTATACTGTAAATACCATTAAGGGCATGTTTTAAATACTGGTTGGCGGTTTTTGCATAGACTTTAGGGAGCTTGAAATCCAGTGTTGTATAAATGTTTGTGGACCGGTGGGTGGTGTGTGTTCCATGGTTGTTGTTTTTTTGTTCCTCTTTGGGAGCTGTAGGTGTGAACAGTGTGCTAGTTTCTCTTGTTAGTCAGAGGCAGAGCAGAAGCTCCTGACCTGTTGTGTTCACAGAAAAAAAAACAGCGTGCTAACTGCCTGTGTTGGGTGACACACACATATATGTGTACAAATCCACACAGATATTCACCCTGCAGGGCTAGAGACGTCCTCACAAAGATGGCTGGATTATACACACGCACAAACATATTTAGCAGTGCGGCTGAGAGGGTCCTATGAGCATTCTGGTATTCAGGGTCACATTGTGCGTCATCCCTACCGGATTAACACCTACTGAACCAGCTGAAGCTCACCAGCCCTTACACTGCCCTGTAACTCACAGGGATAGAGAAGAATAGAGGGGAATTAAAGCAGGAACAGCACTGGATTGGTTCTATGTCAAAGATTGACCATCTATACACCTCTATCGAGGAAAGTGTGCCTGTTTGTTTGTTTGTGTTATGTGTCCGTTTATCACTTTAAAAGAAATATGAATAACCTAAATCCTACTCAAACAGGAGAGTCTGGCAAAACACAGCAAAAACTGTGCTAGGAATGCACCAATATAACAATTCTGACAGATAGTGATAAGCTTATAGTTAAAATTATACACTATTCTGTGTAAATAAATTAAAAGTAAAACACTAAAAACTAGAAATTGACCATCATTTTAAATGTTACTAGTGAATTTAGCCATCACAACATAACATACAGTATGAAAAATATGTATTATATTTAGTAATAATAATAATAATAATAATAATTTGTGTTTTTAAATGATAAACAAGCAATAGATGGCTGAAAGGTTATCTAAACATAAAAATATGGGAAATAAGCATACACAAAAAAATAAATAAATAAAATATAAGATACCGATAAATAGAACAAAAAACAAATATATCATGCCTCTCCGAAGAAAACGTACATTACGGATGCTTTTGGTGCAAGAATCCCTGAATAACATAAACAGACACCGGGAAATAAGCATGTACAAATACTCAATATCGGCCAATACCGATAAATTACAACCGATATGACACAGATATATTGTGTCTCTCTAAAGAAAAAGGATTAAGGATGCTTATGGTGCAAGAATTCTTGACTAACATAAAAAACATTAGGAAATAAGCATGTACAAATATAATATTGACCGATACCGATACATTCAAAAATATCTCTAATATCTCAGCTGACAACCGATATGGTGCCAATATATTGTTTCTCTCAAAAGAAAATATACATTATGGATACTTTTGTGGCAAGAATTATTGACTACCATAAATAGACACTGGGGAAAACACGATATAAGAGTCTAAAATGGCAAATTTAACTTTTCCAAGTCTCAAACCTACAATCTCTCCTCAACCTTTCCTTGCACAGTTTTCCAGAAAGTTCTCCACAGTTAATGTGTAACCTCTCAAGCTGTGAGTTGAAAGTGAAGGAATGCGTGAGGAGACGAGGCAGAGGAACTGAGCGACATGATTTGCACGACGTGACATATCGTCCTTCTCCGGGGCTCTAACAAACCGGCCTTCTACTCGGAGAGATGCAGAAAAACGAGACGGTGAACACTGGAAATGGAGACAGAGAGAGAGAGAGAGAGAGAAGAGGAGAGGAGGAGGAAAGAGAGGGATATGGAGGGAAGATGCCTTCAGGGTAAGGTGCATAAATCAGGATCTCCAAAGAGCCTCAAATGGAAAAGTTGAGAGCAGAGCCTCATCTGAGAGTTTAGCTGACTCCCTGCTGGCCTCCTCCGGAGTTTAGTCAGATTTACATGCTCTCTGGCAAACAAACACATGAGCACGCACGCACGCACGCACGCACGCACGCACTGCATTTGCACACAGTGTCAGTAAAAATCATCTTGGTTTAATTCTTCTTTCAATACAGAAACATACACACACACACACACACACACACACACACACACACACCGCTCAAGAACTGATGTTGATGGAAAACCATCAATCACAGGGCTGGCCTGATTGCACATCAAACTAGCGATATGTGGTATATTTGTGGAGGCACTAAATAAAAACAGTTTAAGGAGTTAAAAAAAGTATTCAAGAATCTAATTAATATTCAAGATTGTTAACATAATACAAAACACATTTTATGTGACATTTTTGAGTGGGATTGACTGAATTGGTGGAAAACCTATGACATTATTGACTAATTTTAAAGAAAATTAATTCCATGGACATTTTAAAACGAAACTAAAAAGGGTCATTTTGATTCAAGCTGTCTTTTAAAAAAGCGTAATAAGATTAATTTGAAAAACTATTAGCAAATAAGTAACAATTGATGACTGACTACTACATAAAACAGCAATTAAAATTTTGAAATCATTAGGGCTTTTTTTTAAATAAATGTAATAAATTACTTGTTGTTCTCACATCAGACTGTTCTGGCGGTAATAGGAGTCAATCATCTGAGCGAATTATAAAGTCACACAACATTTTTCCAATGAATCCAAGAATTTATTCAGTGAATGCATCTCTATCATAGTTTATGCATAACGAATAGTAGTCAGCCATCTAAGCGAAATAACAGCTAATCATCTGAGCAATTTATTCAGTCAAATGACTTGAAGCAATGTCACATGTCAGTTTTGTCACACATCTAAGAATTTATTCAGTAAATGCATTTCTACCATAGTTTATGCACTCATATTCTTTCCAAAGAAATAATAGCAAAATTAACTAATACAGTAGCAGCCCATAATCAGATCAAATTAAGTCACATGACTTGAAGAAAAGTCACATGACATTTAGACCATGCATCTAGGAATTTATTCAGTAAATGCATTTCTACCGTAGTTTGTGTGCATGACTTCTCACTGAATAAAACTTTTATCCACCTTAATTTTTAATGTGCATTTTAATAATTTTATTTGCCTCTTGGTGCTTCCATCCAGCATTTTTTTAGGCATTATCCCAAAATACACGTAAACCTGGTTAATGCCTGACTAATATGCGTTAACATTGCTCATTGCAACTGTAGAAAAATGCTTAGTATAGCCAACAGCCAGCGTTGGTGGGAGAACACAGAACTCCCTCACAGCAGATTCAGCTTGTAAACAGGTATGACAGGATATGTATTCATTTCTGAGGAGGAGCAGGGTACATACATTTTTTAACAGGCCTAATATCCAAATTAATTTGAATGCTGACAAATTTAGGTACACGTGTGCATGTAGACTGTCAGTTTTGATTCTGCAAAGGGAAGCTTTAGAAATCTGTGCATCTGTAGGAGGTATTGACTGTGTGTAAGTGCGTGTGTAAGCGTGTGACAGAAATAGACTCGTCATACCTTGTAGTTGCGACATGTGGGGTTGAACGCATTGGTTCCACACGCAAAGAGAGTTTCATCGTTACGTGGCACCAGCACTTTGATGTAGATTACTGACTCTCTTTTTCCTTCACTTCCACACACACAAATTACCATAATCCCTATGCTGAGCTCCAGGATCTGACTCGCTCCCTGCAACTCAGTCTTCAACCAAAAATGATATTATAAAGACTGTGTGTGTTCACAAATCTACATGTATATGAAGCCACCTGTGGAGAATCACCAGACCGTTTACTGACCATCTGATGCATACTGACCACAACACAGAAAAGTGACTTCTTGATCTGGCAAGCTCTAACCTGATTGGCTGCCTTGACCCAACTTTTAGTAATAAGGACACCGTTTTTTCTGACTGATAATTATTTTCATGTTAAGGTCAATAATTGATAGATGGTCCATATTATATTAATTTTTTTAATCAGTCCGTATATTTGGATATTTTCATAGTTATGTATGTGAAATAACCTTCTTTACAAAATCTATAATATTTGTGACCATTTCTTCAATGTTTACTGCAAAGCTGTTCATACAGACTGATGTGCCAATATTTAGAACACCAGTCTATTACTGTATAATTTATTTCACATAAATCTGCCTCTAATCGGCACAAAACTGCAGAATGTGGCTGGTCACATTATATGTCAGTCATGTGGTCTCTTTCTGTCTATGTTGGCCGTTCTTTCCCAGAATAAGCTGCAGACCAGACCTGCCGTTTAGATGAAGGTCTGGCTATGTGAGACTAATAACCACTAAACGCAACAGTTGCTGACTTCTATCAACACAATTACAGGGAGAAAGTGAAATAAAAGGGCTGTGTACTCACGCTGTTTTTCCCCCTGACTGTGCATTTCTCCACATCCTTTGTCTTCCATGTCAGTTTCTGCCACACAAACAAACACACAATCATGGGCTCATCGCTATTCACAACAGCTATAAAGGGAAAATCTCATTTACTTCAATAAGCATCACACATAATAAACATAAAAAGGAGGAAAGAGAGTTAGACAAGGAGGACTGAGCATCAAGAAGGAAGAGAGACGTCCCTGAGGTTGTTAACAAGCTGTGTTCATGAGTGTGTGTGTGTGTGTCTGTCTGGGTGCTTGCTGGTGTCATTAGGTCAGGATGTATTGCAGAGATTTACTGGGCCGCCCCATGTCAGCCCACCCAAAAGGAACAGCAGGCAATCAACACCCACACACATATACCATGACAAGATAAAAACAACACTCTCACTAACTCAACTATTTGCTGCAGTGACATCTTACTCTCAACAGTTAAGATATTAATGTCAGAGAGACCCAAAAGACGAAAAGCAGAAAAACTGTGTGATCTCTCCATAAGCAGACTACTTCATCAACACTATTACATTTGAAAGGACTGCTGTCATTAACAACAGCATAAAATGGAAACAGGATTTCATTTGCTATTTAAAACAAATAAGCTAACACTTCAACAACCCAAGTTAACAGCAAAAACTGGTCTCTTAGGAGGGAAAAACAAGAACCTATATTGAATAAGGTACAAAAAATTATTAATAAAATACCTGAAAATGTATACCTTCAATTAAAGCACTTTTTCTTCTCTTTTTCAGCAAATGGTAAATAAAAGCAGAAGCTTAACCTTTTGAAAATGTTGATGCTGAAACCTCAGTAGGTCAAGCTAAATTGTACATGAGCGGTTTTATTTTCCATTCATTTTATATGAAGCCTGTAATTCACTCATGCACATTTAGTAAATGGGATATTT